CTCTTCTCTTCTCTTCTCTTCTCTTCTCTGCATGGTTGCATGGGCACATACGGTCCTGTCACTCACATCTGGGAGCTGTCAGATGAATGTGCACACATCTGAGAGGAGAATGAGGGGTGTATTAGGCCTGCTGATCCTTCACACCCCTCTTGTCAAACTTAACATAAAAATGAAAGTCAGTGGCGAGTGTGTGCGTGTGTGTGCATGTGTGTGTGTGTATGTGCGCGTGAAGCAGCAGACGAGGAGGGTCAAAGGAGAAGAGCCATGCCTAATCCTGTGGGATGTGAGGGTATCTCACTGCGTATGGAGATGAGATGTAGAGATGTGCTCAGTGGTGCATGGATCACAAAACCTTCCTAACTGACAGAAGAGACTCCCAGGAGACAGATGTCAAACTGCTAACTGGTGAAAGAAAAATAAAGGGGGCAAAAAAGACAAACTGTGAGGAAAATAACAGTACTGCATGTTGCATCATAACAGTAAAATGTTAAGAGGCGAATGAGGCTGGAACTGAGATTAAATCTCCCCTTCACTTATTTTTAATCTTAGTATTAGTAGCAGTATTAGTATTGTTAGTATTATTAATATTAATATTGTAATTTAACAAACCTTTAAAAATCCAGTTAAACAAATGCAGAATAAATAAATCATGCTGGGTTTGGTTTTTTTTGGCTCTATAATTTGGTTCACGGTGGTGTTAGACAAATAAAATCGGTAGGTGTCGCTGTTGTTCAATTTAAATTTAAAGCCTCCTCTAACCCGGAAAGACTACTTGCGGTCCTTTAACAGAGCAGGAAGTGCCTCAGCACGACACTGACAGTTATTTATCATGGCGCTTGATGTGAAAAGCAGAGCCAAGCGGTACGAGAAGCTGGATTTCCTCGGAGAGGGTCAGGTAGGGGGAGAAATATTTAAGAGATATGTGTCTTTGCTTTTTTCTTCGCGCGTCCTTAGACCGCTTTGTTTATTCTGTAGAAAGCACGATGGCGAGCTAACAAAGCATTAGCTGGTTGCTAATGTCAACAAAGCCTCGCTGGTTCATGCTGCGCTGCTTCTTGTGCCAGTGAATTTCACCAAAATAAGTAAAAGAAATTAACTTTTGGTTTTTAAATGTTGTTTTTTTCTCTGCAGTTTGCCACAGTATACAAAGCCAGGGACAAACTGACCGACACAATAGTTGCTATTAAAAAGGTAAAAGAAACGAGCTGCTTTAGTGTTTTGCTGCTGCCATTCACACTGTGTGTTGATGAGCCGCAGTAAACATTTATCTTTTTATTCCCTTCAGATTAAGGTTGGCCACAGAACTGAGGCTAAGGATGGTAAGTGCTGGGTCCTATCAGCTGCAGCTCATTTTCATCCATTTTATACAATTTTTTTTTTTTACGTATTTATTTTTTTAAATAGGAATTAATCGGACTGCACTCAGAGAGATAAAACTGCTGCAGGAGCTCCATCATCCGAACATTATCGGGGTAGCTAAATGTTCATCGCACATCATCATAATCTTGTGTTACTTGTATCGATTGTATAGAAAGATACCTTAATCTTTCTATATTGTGCAGTTTATGTATTTTTTTTTAATCTAAATATTGTTGTTTTATGTGTGTTGCAGCTGTTGGATGCTTTTGGACATAAATCAAACATCAGCCTGGTGTTTGATTTCATGGAAACAGACCTGGAGGTGAGTAGAGACCTAAATACAAATGTGGAGGAATTTCATACACAGCGTTTGTGCATTTTAAAAAAATATTCACTTTTCTATTAGTTTGTGTGTGTGGGTGGGGGTTAAAGGGGTAGATGATGGATAGAATAGGTAGCAGCTTCCTACTTCCTTAATATTTTTTTCTGATTTCCGGCTTTAATGATTCATCGAGTATCTCGATTTAAAAATAAATAAATAAATAAATAAATATAAAAAATTTCAACACAATTTTTTTTGCTTTGGTGCTTCATGGTGCTCAGTTGTCATTGTATAAGTGGGAGCACTTCATTCACAATTGTAACTAAAAATAAAAGCATTATGGGACATTATAAAATACAGTTAAATCAACTGGCAGTATAACAATGTGCTGTACTGTTCATCAGTGTAAATATGTTTAAGTAAAAGCATAAAAAATGCATTACACGGCTCCAAAAATCTAACTTAGAGATTTGTTTTTAGTCAAACAAATCTTATTAATTGTTCCTATATCTCCGAATAACAAGGAAAAGGAAACACTGAGGGGAAAAAAAGGTATAAAACACATTTAACAGTGTGAATATCTTAAAGTGAAAACATAAAACAATGTAATGCAAGTCCGCATTACATGTCTGTTCTCTAAATCCTTTAAATCTTCAAGCAAAAAATAAACTATGAATAAAAAAAATAATACAGTAAACCTTTCCTTAAAAACAGGAAGGTTTTTTTCCCCCATTTTAAGAACAATTGCACTAAATATCATTATTCTCGCATCAGTTTTTGAGCAAATAATAATTTAGGCTTTCATCTTGTTCCATTCACACATTTTTGGCTAAGAAGACTAATCTGTTCACAGCTTCAGGTTTAGTAAACATTCTTGCATAGCTCTGGTGTTTGTTTGTTTTTTGTGAATTTGGTGAACAAAGTGCAACATGTTACTAGACTTTGTTGGGACCTGTCGGCACTGCATCTTACAAACTGTCTCTTTTATTTCTTCCTGAGCAGCTGATACATTTTACTTCTCAGCTTTAGTCACCAAGGAAGAAGAAAAAATTGGGTCAAAAAATAATTGAAAATGCTGAGATTAAACTCGAAATAGTATTTTGATTAAAAAAAAAAAACCTTGAAATAAGTGTCAATGTTATTTTCTCCACAACTCTATAACTTCTCTGTTGGAAAGGGGTGTTTGGAAGGCCACAAACACAACACCCAGCTGATCCGAGCACAGTGTGAATGCGTAAACAGAATACATTTCTTATCTGTAGTTAAATATTAATAATATAACATTTAGAGCTCTTAAAGTCACAGACTGCCAAATCTTAGATTTACTTATTTTATTTTTAGAAACGTCTTCCAGTACAGTTTTGCCTAAAGAGTACAGTATTGTATGATATTATTTATTTATTTGTTTGTAACAAAACCTGAAGATGTCATGTTTTGCATTATGACTGCTTCTGTCTGGAGATTTGTCAGTCATCTCTAATCTGTTAAACATGTCTTTAAAAAAAGTTTTCTTTTTTATGCTGCAGTTCCCTTGTGGGCCAGCAGGTGGAAATTTTACCCTTTGTTCACACTCGTAGTGTAAGGTCAGATTAAAGTCGAGTATCCAAGAAAGCATGAGCAAGAGGTCAAACAAAGTGTCACCAGTGCTAAGCTGGGTGTTACTCTGGCTTTTATTTGGATTATCTAAGCATAAAAAGGCTCCAAATAGGCGCTCACCAGCAATGCTTTAGAGCCTAATCGAATGATGCAAAATAAGATAAACGCACTTAAAAATAATCAATATCACTCTGCTTTTGGCTGCTCAGTGAAGTGATGCCATTACAGGTAGCAGAAAAACAGGATGCACATGAGGGTGAAATGTGATGCTGATCTTATTACCGGTGCTAAAAGCCTATATTATAAAAGCCTATATATTTTTGGACTGCGAGGTTAGCTTTAGTTAGACTCCTGCATTCAAAGGTGATGATGGTTCTTGTTATCAAGGCTGAACTGCTCTATCTTGGATGATTTCTTTATATGGATATTTTCCAGATGTTTTTGATTGTCTCGTCCGCTCAGAAAAAGTGTATTTTAATTGTGTGTGTGTGTGTGTGTGTGTGTGTGGCCTAGAGCTATGAAAAGCCATGAATTTATGCATGGATGTTATTAATTATGAGAAGTCTGGCTGTACGTATGACTCTTGGTCTTTGTTTTGTTGTTTTTAAGGTTATCATCAAAGACACTAGTTTAGTCTTAACTCCAGCCAACATCAAAGCCTACATCCTCATGACTCTGCAGGGATTAGAGTATATGCACCAGCACTGGGTCCTACACAGGGTAAGAAAACTTGTGTGCAGCATTTACACATAAATATGCTCATGTCTAATTTGTAATTTATGTTTTGGGCCTTTTCCTCTTAATTTCTTTCTTTTTTTTGTGCAGGATCTGAAGCCCAATAATCTGTTGTTAGATGGCAGTGGGGTGTTGAAGTTGGCTGATTTTGGTTTGGCCAAGTCTTTTGGCAGCCCTAGCAGAGTCTACACACATCAAGTTGTTACCAGGTCAGATTAGTCTCCATGTTACCTCATTAAAAATACAGAATTTCTCCAGGGTTAGTCTCATTAGCAATATTTTTTTTTAATGTTTTCCATGAGTTAATCAAACATTTAACCAAACTAGGACTGGTTAAATGTGACAGAATTCTACTAAGAAGTCCAGGTTGCAAGGTCTGTAAAATATGTCTCTATTTATTGTTCATTCATGTCTTTCCCAGGTGGTACCGATCACCTGAGCTCCTGTTTGGTGCCAGGATGTACGGTGTGGGTGTTGACATGTGGGCAGTGGGATGCATTTTGGCAGAGTTGCTGCTTCGGGTAAATAAACCTCACTTCAAAGATATGAGCAGGCTGCGTCCCCTGAGCAGTCTCAGGGGACGCAGCTATTTTCATATTCATGCTAATGTCTCTCTACACTCCCGTTTGCTGTAGGTTCCGTTCCTTGCTGGAGACTCGGATCTCGACCAGCTTACTAAGATCTTTGAGGCTCTGGGAACACCCACGGAAGAAACATGGCCTGTGAGTTTGTTTGGGGGGTTTTGTTGTTGTTGTTGTTGTTGTTGTTGTTGTTGTTTTGTTTTTTCTACAGTTTGGCCCAATTTTGATGAAATGTGGGGATTCTTGCTTACATTCTATTGTTATATCTCTCTTTAGGGCTTGAGTAGTCTACCAGACTACGTGTCCTTCAAAATATTCCCCGGCACACCGCTGGAACATATATTTAGTGCAGCTGGAGACGATTTACTTGAGCTGCTACAAGGTCTCTTTACCTTTAACCCTTCAGCGAGGACCACAGCTACACAGGTAATAAGCTAAAGCACTGTAGCTATTCTCAGTTTTATATTATTGAACAAATCATTTGAAATTATTTTTAGATAAGTTTTAAAATAAGAATATTAACATTCTTACACTGCAGTCTATTTGATGATTGCTAGATCGGCTTCAGCACTGAAACCCTGCCGCTTCATTTGTAGCTCCCTCAGAATTACAGGCCTCGCTTCAGGCAGTACGACTCTCATTGTGATCAGCCGGTGAAGAGTGTCCTTTACTTTAAGAGCGTAATACAAAGATAAACCACTAATAGACTTGTAAAACTTGACTTTACACGACGTGCAAAACAAAAAGTAGACATTTCATCTTCGTACAAGTCATGATGTGGTTGCCACACAGCTTTGTGCTAGGAAAAATAAATAAATATAAATGCTTATTCTTTGCTTATTTTTAAATGCACATGTTTTTTGGGATGTTTGGGTTGACGAGTTGTGAACATAAACCGTACCCGAGTTAAGTAGCTGTTATCCTCTTCAATGCCGCTTCCGCAGGTTTTGTGCACCTCTGAGTCCCAGTGCTCCCACTCGTTGGAATTCGCCCTTCGAAGTTTCTTCTGTCCAAATTATAACCTTTAAAATTTGAGTATTATTTTGAAACAAGAACATCACAGGGATTTAACTCTGGAAAGAAGGAGTGTTGGTGAGCAGCGATTGTGTTAGTGAAATGTGTAGTGTGAAGAACTTCTTAGTAGTAGATGTAAGCAGTAGGTTGTTTGTTCTTTCTCAGAAGTCTCAGTATATTAGTAAAACTCGCTATTGTCTGATCCAGGCGAGTGAATGCACTCTGCATAGCTGGGTCCTAGGCACAGAGCCTGTTTTCCTCACCTGTGACAATCCCTGACATAAAAACTCGGTCAGTCTGACACAAGCAGTGTTGGGAAGGTTACTTTTAAAATGTATTCCACTACAGATTACAGAATACATGCCCCAAAAGCGTATTTTGTAATGTATTCCGTTACGTTACTCAATGACAGTAACGTATTCTGAATACTTTGGATTACTTAATATATTATCATGCTTTTTACAACTACATGAATGTACTATTGCTGTGTGATTTATTACTATTACTGAAGGCTACTCGCCATACCAATACCAGCTAGATTTTTAAATCTTAATATAAAATGAGTAACAGTAGGGTGGACATTAGGTAAGGCTGCACTTTTAGCAGCGATCTCGTATAGAAAACTATTCCGCGCGTATATAAAACAGGTCCGCGGCTCCGAACCATAAAGACATAAAACTGTGAAGGGACCTCTGGCTAATACGTCGGGTTCCATGTCGGGCTCGTAGCCGAAAACTAGCTTTACTTTGTTGTCTGGGTCAACGTTTCTAGCAAGAGACAGAGAAAGGCGTTGAAAGGCTGCTCCAGCGGAACTTATTGTTTCGGAGGAAAACACGAACACAGTGTACAGTCGAGTCTTAATAGCTTACTTACAACTGGGCTCATCAGGCACTCTTTTTGGCTGCAGTGGTTATTATTATATTTGCATGCTTCAATCTCCGGTTTCTGGTCGGTGACAACTCGTACTTTTCGACTCTTTTTCTCCCTCCTCGCGCTCACAGACACATAACGTGTATGGCGGTCCATTCTCCCTGCAGCACGGACTACACTGCCCATGAGGCTACATTCTTTAGGGCGATGACTGTAACACTCTGCCTATTGCCTTCATATTAAATCATTTTTGTGAATAATTTTTAAAAATATTTCTTCACCTCATTATGCGGGCCACAAGTAGAGGTGACATGGGCCACGAGATTGAGACGCAGGCATTGGAGCCTCTTAATGCGTGTTTTGTTTGGGTTTCCACCAGCGTGGAATTACCAAAAATAGAGAGCATAGGCTAACATATGAAACGGGAAAAGACCGCCATTTATTTCAACAAAGTAACTGTATTCTAAATACTACCTTTTTAAATGGTAACTGTAACGGAATACAGTTACTCATATTTTGTATTTTAAATACGTAACGGCGGTACATGTATTCCGTTACTCCCAACACAGGAATTAATGTTTGCCTTCTGTTTGAGCAACTTCAGTTTTATTTACATAGCACCAATTCACAACAGTCACCGCAAGGCACTAAATAACTCATAATATTAGAGAGAAAACCTGAACTATCTCATTGTTCAACAACTGCATTAATGACACATCTTCCACTTTCTCTATTACACATCTCAGTAATAAGAAAAAAAACAGCTTCTTGCATCTTTGATACATCAAATTAGAGACACAACTCTGATGTTTGATGACATAGATGTATAAAATGGTGTTTTCCTTTATTCTACAGGCTCTGAAGATGAGGTACTTCAGCAATCGGCCTGGTCCCACTCCTGGCCCCCAGCTCCCCCGGCCAAACTGTTCAGCCGAGGCTTTGAGGGAGAAGGAGACAGTCGGTCTCAAGAGAAAAATCGAAGGCCTGGAGACAAGTAATGACCGTATATGATCTCATATTTGCACTAAATCCACTGTGTGTGTCCTTAATCCACAGAAGACCACCCTGACTCTGGGTTAAATATTTTCTCAGTCATGTTGTTTATATTGTGGTTTGAGCAGCAAAAACGTGAGGTGTCTGCGACACTCGTTTGAGGCGGACTTTAAAGGGGCTGAATATTTTAGAACTTCCAACACTGACCTGATTTTTTTTCTTCTCTTTTTTTTTTTTTTTATAGCATGTTGTGAGTTTTTTGACTGCTTCTCGCTGAAGTTAGAAACCTAACCTAGCAATTCAGCGGGTGTTGGCTGTACATTTAGCTGCAGTTACAAATTCAGAAAATACTGAATTCGAACACGCGCCCACAGTTTCGTGGCTAGTGGGAGGGTATGTTTTACTAAAGTGGAACCCTTTAGTGTCACTGGGAGGTTCAAAGCTTTTCCAGCTCCTCTGTGGTTTGGAAAATATCTGGCTTTGACTTTTGAAACATTTATAACAGAAACCTTGGTGCCTCTTGGTAGCGCGTTGCTCAATATAGGCTTGATTTGAGCATGTGGCGTACATACACAGAACAGAAATACGTGTCTGTCTAATCTAACTTAGGTTTTTTAAGTTGTTTTTTTTTTTTCTTCTTCTTCTTTTTTAAATAATGTTTATAACAAAACCCTTTGTGTTATTTTCAGCTGCAATGAAGAAGAAGCTCATTTTCTGACTATGGACCGGGTTAAATCCAAGGATCACCACTGCATGGCTCAGCTTCCTGCATTTCTCAGGACTGTCCACTGGAAAAAGGAAAAAAAGTCTAACCAGTGGAGGCTCTCTCACGCGTGGTTGACTTTAGGACATTTTAGAAGTTGTAGCCAGCGTATGTGAATCGTTAACTCTAAAATATTCAGGATGCTGCTGTGTCCAGATGGCCAGCGATTGATCTACAGCAGAGGGTTGTTGTCAGTAGTGTTGGCTCTGGTCCTCCTTCACTGATGCCTAAACTCTGTGAGCCTGTGGGGAAAAACATCTATTTATGTGTGTGGAAAAAGAAAAACAAACCAAAATGTGAGGATTTATTTCATGTGAATGTTTTTGTATTGTTATTATTTTGTATGTCACAGCAATAAAAGCTGCATATGCTCATGCTGAAGTTTCCTGCTTGGATTAGAGATGTGCTGAGGTTGGTAGTGATGGTTTTATTAATAGCCTGTGTGGTCAAATCTGAAAACCGACGTCTTCCTAACACTTATGAATTCACACAGTAACAGTCCACGCACAGTACTGACTGACCTCACGTGTACAGCATTTACTTTGCCTGTGAGCTGAAGTGCACTTGTGGTTTGTTCACTCAGCAGGTGGATTGAAGCAAAAGCACTGTCTTCAGGACTCACACGGTGACACTGTGCTTCAGTGTCATGCAGCAGTGTGATACTAAATCCGTATTTTCTGCTTCCTGTCCTTTCTTTTTTGACGTTACATTGATCGATACACTCTGACATGTCAGAGGCCTGATGCTCTGCTGCCCTTTTTGGTTTCCTGTCAAACACAATCAGATTAGAGTGAAGATGGAGGCTGAAATGTCTTCACATTCAATCTAAAATATGCCTGATTCTGTTACACAGGCCATTGCAGATGCGTGCTTTCTGCTTTTCAGAGGGCTGTTGATTTGATGCGTTCATAAACTGGCAGTCCTGTGTGATTCACGCCTATTTAAAAAGTCCTACAATGGCAGTGGTGACTGACAAAGTGTGTGTGTGTGTGTGTGTTAAGATAAGTGGCTATTATGGATGTGTGTGTCGAATAAGATAAGATAAGATAACCTTTATTAGTCCCACACGTGGGAAATTTGTTTTGTCACAGCAGGAAGTGGACAGTGCAAAAGTTATGAGGCAAAAATTAGAATACAATAAGAATAAATACAGTACACAACTGTACAGAATAGAATAAAATAAAATACTATATACAGTAGAATAAAATAAAATAAATATACAATAAGATAAAAATAGAATACAAATACTATATATATGTTGAGTCATTTGGTCATATGACAGTGTTGGCAAACGGCAACACAAGCCACAGACAGCTACAGTAGCAGCCTTATCAGCTCAGCCTTATCAAGGCCCCTTCATTGGCCAGCAAACAGACTCCTACTGCACTGCTGAGCTCAACACACAGTTGCACACATGCCGTTAAAAACCACGAGCAGGGTTTTTTGGACAAAGAGAAACTTACTCATACTTATGAGTCAGCAAGATACAGCCAAGTGAACAACTGCAGTGGGATGATAAAGACGAGATAAAGTCCAGCTTTTGATTTATAGAAAAATGCAAGTTCATTATACAGTATAAGTGTGTGGCAGCAAGTCACCTGCCCTTTCATTTTACCCATCTATTGACTAAAAAGTAATATGTTTGAGGCAAAATAATTTCAGTATTCTGGGATAAATAGGCTATTAAATTATATTATGTGATGTTAAAATGTCCTTATTTCTGATAGGTTATATATCATTTGAAATATATTTTATGCAGGGATTCATTGGGCTTTGTGTGCATGTCAGACTCATTGCCATTTTTTGTTGTACTTAAAAACACAGGTGACTTAAATGATAGACATTTCCTCCCAATTGAAATAATTAATTGTGAATATAAGCAGAATACCACCTATACTTAACAGCTCTGATGATTAATGAGCCATGGAAGGATCAGATCCAGGTCATCCTGTGTCTGGATATAGCTGTTGACAATTTTTATAATTTTATTTTTTAATCCTGCACCGACCCCTTTGTTTTTGTTTTTTGTTTTTGTTTTTTGTTTTTGTTTGTTTGGAGTTTTGTTTTTGTTTTTTGTTTTGTTTTGTTTTTTTTACTTATAATACAGCTTTCTGATAGTATTTTAAAATCCATATTATTTCATATATTTTAAACATTCAGGCCAGGGGTCTAACTTGTGTGGCACGTGGCTTTGTGTTACGTCTAACGTGTAATCTGAGAATGCCAATAAGGATTTTTTTTTTTTTAATGGCAGTAAATGTAATATAACCTATTTAGTCATCTCTCTGATGCTCTCTGTGGCAGAGCCGATGCAGCTCTGCGCTGAGCCTTGTTGTTTGGCGGTGATGTGCAGTCAGTCAGTCAGTCAGTGGGAGGAGAGACCAGAAGAGGAGGGGGGACAGGAAGGCTGGGTGGACGGAGCAGAAGCGCTTTGGTTCCCCGTGTGTCGCTGATTTTGAAGGAAAGCGGCTGAGAAATCCCCGAGCTGTCCTCACTCTGAAACGGATTTTATTTATTCTGTCCCCTCGTCATGTGTACTCCTTGTTGTATCGCGCAGGTGAGTAACAATAGCCGACCCTGACTTACTGTTGTGTGAGTGCGTGTGTGTTTGTTGCTCTTCAGCGGTTTGAAACGCTGTAACAATGAGACGTGCTCAACGTTGACCCTTCCCGTATTGTTTACTGTTTTTTGTCCTCGTCTCTCGCCGTTTACCGTCGGCTAAAGCCAGCCAGCCTCTGTCCCGAGTCTCGGTGATTCCCGTCAACCTTATTGAGCTGCCTTTTAATGTAATAACAGCGCGAAATAATTAATTATAACCCCCATTCTTCCTCCTCCTCCTCCTCCTCCTCCTCCTCCTCCTCATTGAGCTGACTGGATAACTTCACTGTAAAGCCGTTAGAGGACAAAGCAAAGCGAGGCAAAACTACGGGAAATGTGGCCGTTAATACAGAAATGTGTTGACGGGTACAGCCAACAACGAGCCATGGCTGCGATTAAGTGAGTGCTGTGGAGGACAGTTACACTTCTTTTTTAAGCACATCTTATTCCCCAGTTCCTAAAACATTGAAACAGATGAAGGAGCTAAAGAAGAGGCTAGCCAGCTGTGGCTCGGTCTAACTATTTACAGTTATTTACGTATATAGGTGCTGAAAGGCTCTGCTGAAAAGTAAACATAGCTATATACCCAACAAAAACAATAAGTCTGTCTTTGTCTTGGTTTCTTTTCTGTTAAATGTGCTATGTTGCTTTTTAAAGGACAGTTGTTTTGTATCTGTTATTTTTGTAATTATACATCACTAAAGCAGTATTTCTCCGCATAAAATAAGCAGTTACTTTTGGGTTGCATAATGTGTGGATTGAAAGCCAACCAGATTTTTGATTACTTTTTGATGTTTAAAGGATTGTTATTTTAAAGCAAACAAATCCCCTAAAGCCACATATGTTCTTGTTTAAATTTAGTTTGTTTTTTTGTGCCCTGCAATAACAGTAGCGTGACTGTTTGGGCTATTGATTGGTTATAATACATTTGCTTGCTTTTGCTGCTTTAAATCTTTTGTGGATATTTGATTTGTTTGCTTGCATCACTTTTATGAGAGGTGCTAGTGCCGTAAAGCTACAGAAATACTTTAAAAGGGTGGTGGTTCAGAGTCAGAGAGGTTTCCTTTCATGCTGAGCGTGTTTTCTACAGCTTACAGATTGGGCTCTGACCAGTGGGTCACCACTGCTGAGCTGATCTGGCTAGGAATTTAATTACATATGCACATCCCTAAACTGAGGGAGGTCACTTCTATTTCCTGCTCTTTTCACAGAGTGGGATTAAAGAGGAAATGAAGGGCAAAGAATAAGATCAGTTTTGTCTTGCTGTGCTGGTGGTGTGCTAATCCCTGTCACAGACACCCCGTTTACTTGCCATCTCTATTAAAGTGTATGCTTGCATTTAACTTCGTGCGTGTGAATATATTTGACACACTTGAGGTTCAGAGTGGCACAAACTGGTGTGTGGTCTGTTAATTTCCTCCCTGGCTTGAAGGTTGAAATTAGACAAGGGTGGCTGTTGTTTGGGAGAGATCTGAAGGCAGCAGGAAGCACGACGTGGGAGCAGCTCACTTGTAATTTCTCAGTGGGATCAGGGATGTATGCCATGTTGCGATGGGGGCAAGGGCAGGTTGAAGGCTTTAGCTTAGCGTTGAGTGGAGTTCAGAGCGCTGCAAAGTGTTGGCTGAAAGTGTGGTGAGAGCACTGAAATCATGTGGGTGTCTTTACGCATCACAGCCATGGAGCAGTCACCCTTACCAGGGTACAAGAGTCAAGAGGATGGAGTGTCACTTTCTGCAAACATACTGATAAAGAAGTCTTCAGGCCCTCGTTGGAGTGGTGAAAAATCAGAGGAAGTGGTTTGTGAAGAGCCAGCACCGCTCATTCAAACAGAGCTGACCCATCAGTAAATGGGGTCATGACACAGTAGCTGTAAAGCAGCAGCGGGGGTAGGTGATTACCTTTTAAACTCGACTTGTAAAACCAGCCTTAGTGAATTCTGCCTGCAAACATCTGGAGCACTCTTATCCAAAATACATTTCTGGCTCTGTCATATGATCAGAATTACTCTCTAACTGTGTACACATCAGAGATGTCTGCTGTTTTCAACTTCCCCTCAGGAATTTTGCTGTGGTCAGCAGCGAGCAGCAGGAACTTGTTTTCCCAAACCGGGACATGTCTAGCAGCCCTTCATCCCTTTTGTTTCCCACTGAATTGCCACAAACCAGTGTTAATGTCTCTTTCTCAACCTCCCCCTCATCACATATGTCTGGGTCTCTGTAATTTATCCTTGATTATTAGCTGGTTGTGTTTTGAAACTCACAACTGATTCTGAGAAGTGAAACAGACTCCCGTGTGAACAAAAAAAAAAAAAGTGATACCGCCTTGTATCTTGACCATCTTCCTGTTCTTGTTTAGTTTGGTTCCTTTGCTTATTTCATGACAAACACCTTCATCTGCTAGAATTTGTTCATTTTTACTCCTCGCTGTACCACTTTTTTTTTTTTTTGTCTCTTTTGTTACTTTCTTTTCTTTTCTCTCCACCGGACTAAAGTTTCTCTGTGTTGGTTGTAGCTAGGGGGGTATATTTGCCAAGAGAGAGAGAGCAAAGACCTCCCTTTGTGTACAGGAAACAGTGGAGTGATACATTTTTGCTGTGTGTATACAGCTGCCTAGCTATATAGACAATAGTGGAGCTGTCACTCAACAGTATGAGGGAAAGAGGAGTAGATCTTGGTCTGGAAGCTTGGGCCAACTGGACATGTGAGGAAGATCCCGCATCGTCTTCTGTTGCCCTAAATTTTATTTTGTTTGCTGGTTTCCCGTAACCCGCCTGCAACACAAAGCATTGTAATTTGAGATAACAGGGTGTGTCAGAGCTAGTGGCTTCTCATGATTCAATGTGCTTTGAACAGTGGCCGCTATCATTAAGCTTTAACCAGCAAAAAGTCCCAAAGATTTTTAAAGCAGCCAGCTACAGTGTAGTCTGTAAGGATTTGTGTACCAAACTAAAATAGGGCATGGAATAAATAGTGCATAAGATGTGACGAATGAGCGAATCAACATGAGGTTTAAGCTTGCGGGGATGTTGTCACTCCACATTGTTCCAGTCAGGATGTTTTTGCCTGTTTTCATGAGTCATTCCTGTCAGTGTGTGTGTATGTTTTTCCCAGTTTGCTGTTGGGTGTGCATCATGACACGTCTGCTGATAAACGTAAAGTCACAATCTGAAATCTATACAGCAAAACACAGATACCGAATACATTTATTCTTTTAGCAACCCAGAGTCTGCCAGATGGACTTGTTTACTCACTGTCAGGACTGGTGTCAACTGGCTCTGTATCTGAAATCCTCATTCTCCTTTGTGGTCCTTACAGTGGTATAGTGTATGACCCATTTCTCTTTGT